TTCACATAGTCGGCGTGGCCCGGGCAGTCGACGTGCGCGTAGTGACGCTTTTCGGTCTCGTACTCGACGTGTGCAGTCGAAATGGTGATCCCGCGTGCCTTTTCTTCCGGCGCCTTGTCGATCTGGTCGTACGCAGAGAACGTCGCACCCCCAGTCTCCGCAAGAACCTTCGTGATCGCTGCTGTCAACGACGTCTTGCCATGGTCAACGTGACCAATCGTGCCGATGTTGCAGTGCGGCTTGTTACGCGCAAATTTTTCCTTGCCCATTGCTCACAACCGTTAATCAAGAGTTAGAACTGCGGGGGCGTTTACCCGGTTGGACGCTGAGAGACAAGTGGTTTTTGTTTTCCGCGCCTGAGTCCGAATAAAGACAGTTCATGCCATCGCCAGGCTGGCTCCCAAAGTCGACCGTCTAACTGAGGAGTCGTGCGTTGCGTTCGCCGGAGGAAATCTGCTCAGGACAAGCCATCACAATGCGAATATCATCATAATCGCGGTCAGAGCCGGCGATCTCCGGCGGCCGATCTTCCCAGCCGTAATACATGAACTTGTCTTCGCCGCATTCCTCCGTCGCCTGCTGCGGCGTACGATTGGTGCTATTGTTCGGCGGTATTTTTCCACCTTGCGCCGGTGTCCTGCGGCACTCCTCCAGCGTATCGCACAAGATGGTCTCTAGAATCGTAACCTTCTGCCCAGAAGGCGCCTCCAGCCCATGATATTTCTCAGGACTGCCGGGTATCCATTCGCTTTCCGTATAATAATTATAGCGTGAGCCACCGGCATCCCAACGCTGCGGCGATGTCCGCGAGTTCCTGACATTTTCCAGACGAATGGAAAGAAACGATCCCTGCGGACATTGCGGCATCAGGTACGTGTATCGTCTTTCTGCGCCGCTGCCTCCAGAGATTTGCCTCCAGACACCTTGTTCAGAAGTGTCTAGGCCGGGTGGGCCCAACAACGCCGTTCGCCTTGCGTATTCGTCCCTTAGCCACGGATCGACAATTGGATTATCGGGATCGGCGGGATCGCCAGGATCGGGAACAAATCGCAGGTCACGGTTGGCGCTCGAACCACCATTGTCCGCGATAGGCACCATCTGGGTGCGTTTTGGCTGGCTTGGATCGCCTTCCGGCCGATCTATCCAGTAGCAATAGAGCCAAAGCCGATTGAAGTCGGCCGCCTCGTAGCTCAGTTCGCTAAATTCGGGCGCCACCCATTTCAGGTCGGGCCTCTCTACTTGCGCAACGGCGGCAACCGAAACCCGTTGAACATCACCAATCCCAGGAAGCAGCTTGATGAACGCAAGCGGAACATCCGCTGAAGCTGTCACCCGAAAATCATACTGATTGAGCCACTCGCCTTCAACCTGGACTTCCCGAGCCCAGCTTCCATTATAGTTCCGCGCAATCTCCGCCATCGCGGCATCATGAACAACTTCCCAGTCCACATCCTCAATCAGAGCGTTGAGAGCCGCGGAATCTGCTTCGATCTGAAGCTTTTCCTGTACGTGCTGCAACCGCACGTAATCCACGGCCCATCCGGCCATTGCGATGAACGGTATGGCCATTACGGCGAAAATCACGGCGACGACGCCATCCTCGCGCCGGACCAAGTCCCACAAACTGCGTCCCATGCCCGTTTGCCCATCTCCGGCGCTTCTGGCGCCCAATAAACCGCATGATTGCGACCGGCAGCGCCGGCTTTGTATCGATCACACAATATCGGAATGGATTTTCAGTAAACTTACGCAGTTTCGGCAAAACTGTCTGAAAGGGTTTACCGGGCGTTAAGCAGGTATTGCAGCATCAATAGCAGGATTTCGCGCGCTCGACCTCGCCCCGCGAACCGATAATGATGCCGATGCGCTGATGCAGGCTCGATGGCTCAATATCGAGAAGACGTTGAGTGCCGGTGGTCGAGGCGCCGCCGGCCGCTTCGACAATCATGCTCATGGGGTTGGCCTCATAGAGCAAGCGCAAGCGCCCTCCCTTACCCTTGGTATCCTCATCCTCGGGATAGAGAAAAACTCCACCCCGGCACAATATGCGGTGCAGATCTGCGACCATGGCTGCGCACCAGCGCATGTTGTAGGTCTTGCCGAACGGGCCGGACTTTCCGGCAAGGCAGGCGTCGACAAACGCCCGGGTAGGCGCATACCAACGCGTTTGGCGCGATGCATTTATGGCGAACTCGGCCGCTTCTTGTGGGATTTCCACCTTGTCGCGAACCATTACGAATTCGGCACTGGCCTCATCGAGGCTGAACACGGTCACCGCCTGCCCTGTCGTCAGC